CTCCACCGCAACCCGCAAGGGTTTATTGTGGCTCACACCTATTAACACTTAACGAAGCCGATTAGTTTGTATGGTGAGTGGTCTTTCAGGTCAGATGGTAAGAGTACGGCTCTGCCGAACTCTAAAAACCAGATTCGGTCCCCAGCGGGGCAGGCACAAAGTATGTGCTCTGCTGTTTCATCATTTTCCAAACAAAGGTGACACACACTGTCTTCACACAGTCTGAATCTCTGCAAATGATGATTCAAATGATAGTGACCTGTAAGAAGGCCTGTTAGACATCGTAGTTCATCCCTACTGTAGTCCAACAACTGTTTGGAATCAAGCTTGAGGGGTGAGTAAACGGCTTGGAGTGAGCCAATCTTGGAAGATTCTACCAGAAGTCCATAAATCTTCTTGCCATCCAGGTGTTCAATGTTTGTTTGGCAAAGCCCAAAGCGATGCCAATGGCAGGTTCTGGTCCAATGAAGTTGCATGCAGCACCCTCTTTTGCGAGGGAGTCAGCAACCTCATTGTCTTCCAGGCCAGACTCGAGACAATCTGTCTTCCTATCGAGGAGAGTCGTTTTTGTCAATTTGCTACCAATTTAGACGTTGCTCGGTAGGAGCCAAGAACTTCCAACGTTGTTTGACTGTCCGAGAATATTTTTATTATTACTAAACTATCATTTGTATGATTTTATTCTATTGTAATTTGTTGCAGGTAACATAGCACTTCACATATTTTCCCAAGAAGCGAGAATCACATATGATTTGGATTCCCTATGGGCTGTAGGTCCAGAATATGATGATGAATTCAATAAGCCCGAACCAATTTCTGAGATGCTAGATATGCATGCTAGGTTTTTGAGCGATGTGCAACAACTCAAACTATCTTAGTGTCCCCAATGAAATAAACACACATAACTTGTGCATATTTTGATTATATTTATAAAACTGACTGTCTTCATATGAGGAACCCCAACGAATCATTATTGCAACTCCCACCCCGTAGTATGCTCGTGGAGTTGTTTCCTGGCTCTGTTTGCAGGAAGACATCCCACTGAATCAACTGCAGAATGATTTCATAACTAGCTGAAATTATATTTGTTTGGTCGTGATACTCAGACGGTTCACACCGTTCTGAAGAGACCATGCCCGGTACTGATGATGGGGCAATCACCCTGAAACCGGTCTATCGGTTGGTCGGATCGACCAAACGAAATTAATTTCTGCTTTTCATACTGGGAAATAACTTGCAACGAATCTTCCAAGTGGAAGACGTTGCACAGGTGTCTGATGGTTTTACTTCAACTCTCTGCGCGGCATTAGCTGGGTTAGTTGTTGTTTTTCTGTTGGGTATCTGCCACACGTACCTAGAAAGTCGTAGGTCTGCTTGAGAGGAAAGGGGCCAACCTTGAGCGTGTCATAATGCACCTCTCCAAAATATTAATCATTATTTTGACTCAGATTGCAANATAATAATGATAAGGAACTTACCTGTCACTGTTGCTTTCTACATCATCAGGCGTCATCGGGGGTGTTGACAAAACAGCATCGCTTGGCAACTGAGAGAAAATTTCAATATCAAATATATTGTGAAGCGTCACATTCAGCAAATACTCACATCATTCAGCACGGTACAATCATAACTAGGCTGGTACTTCTCCTGCTCCGACATCGGCCTCTTCATGATCTTCTCCCTGTCCTGCTTGTGCTTTCTGTCTGCTCCTTTCAGCTTGAATACTTTGATCTGGCAGGCAGCAGCGTGCAGTCTTTTGTTCCCGTTAACTCCCAAATCAGGATGTTGGTACGTCTCCACTTGGATGCGGAAAGGTACCCCCTTCTCCCCTCCGTGCTTCTTCGGAGTGAATTCCGTACTGATACAGTTGACCTGAGAAAAATGTGATATACATCTTGAAAATGGATTTTTTGAAGTTGCCGTCTAATGGGCTTGTTACATGCTATGGAAAATGATACTGGTTTGCTTATAGACTGATCGAGTTAGGGGTATCACGCCTAATAATAATAATAATAATAACTTTATTTGTCTTTTCGATCATATACATGATATAAGACATGTCATAAATAAAAATATGAAAATTATATAAAACAATGATAACGGTCCACAGTATAACATAGATCTGACACTTGAAACAGGTACTTAACTATATACATATATAAAAAATAACACAAACACACATATATGTATACACATACATAAATATATCTACATGAAGTAAATTTATCTTTAACTAGGATGAAAGAAATGCAGTGAAAGCAATAATCATGTATCCCGTTCTAAGAATTCTTCTATGCTATAATAGCGTATTATTAGTTAATAGCTATAATATGCAAATCTTTAATATCTTGAGGCAACGAATTGAATAATGTTATGCCATTATATGCAAGTGATTCCTTGAATGTCAATGTTTTATGTTTAAGGATAGTTAATAAATGTCTATTTCGTGTTGCATAGTTATGAACTATTGATTCATCTCTCAGATTGGGTACATTATTTTTCACATGAAGCAGAGCTTTATATATTATATAGATACAAGGTAACGTTAGCATCTTGTTCTTGCAGAAAGCAGGTCTACAGCTATCCCTGGGTGCAATATTAAAGATAGTTCTAATTATTCTTTTTTGAACAATAAAAACACGTTTTCCCCTACAGAAGAACCCCACATTAATACATTTTGAGCCATATGTGAGTACGCCAATGAATAGTAAACAGTCCTGATACCATCTAAACTAAGCACGTCTTTGATCTGTCGTATTGCAAATAACGCTTCATTCAATTTTTTGCAGACATAATCGATATGGGGCTCCCAAGACAAGGTTTTATCTATAAACATACCTAGGAGTTTGGCTGTTTCCGAGAGTTGGATGCTGTCGAGTTTCACTGTTTTCCTCAACCCGAAGCTTAAATGTACTGTTTTACTTTCGTTCAGTTTTAGTTGATTTCTATCACACCAAGAAAGCATGTCATCCATGACTGAATTAATGTTGTTTTCTAGCTCCTCCGCAGTATTTCCGGAAACTGCTATGATAGTGTCATCTGCGAATAGGATAATGAAACCTTGTTTTATATGCTTCGGAAGATCATTTATATAGATAGAGAAAAGCAGTGGGCCTAAAATGGACCCCTGTGGTACCCCAAGGATAATATCTTGAATATCAGATACTGCATTATTCACAGTCACTACCATTTTCCTATCTTCCATAAAAGATTTTATCCATTCCAGAAGGAACCCTCTAATGCCAATGTTATATAACTTACTAACCATTATGTCACTATTTACTGAATCAAACGCCTTAGCCAAGTCAAATAATATTGAAACTATACGTAGGTACTTCCCCTTATCGATTTCATTGTAAATAAACTCGAATTTTCTAGCAATAGCAGAAAACCATGTTGATGATCGGTTAGAATCTTGTATTTTTCGAGAAACGCAATAATTCTATTTGCTACTATGTAATGATATTTGGCGATGTCTTCATGTGGACCCTTTTTACAAATAGGAATAACTTTGGCTGTTTTGAAGACACTCGGAAACACGCCTTCCATTATAGAGTGATTCATAAGATTCAATAGAATTTCAGATATAGATGGAATGACATATTTCAGAACTTTTATTGTTATATCGTCTAGGCCATTCGATTTTTTATTTTTTAGTTCGGTTATTGTTGAAACTAGTTCAGGTTCTAGCAGTTCTTCAGTTATCTAAAGGAATAACTCGCCCACAACATTGGGGATTTTTATATTTTTATTAACTACCCGTTCTCTTGTCAAACTCCAATCTTCAGGCGACACAATAACTACGGCCTTCTTATTACCACTTCAAGTCAATATTGTGAACTATATCCTGGTGTATCTCTCGCAAGGCTAGACCACTACACCCTTTATACCTATCTCTGTTTACAGTCTTTCGAGGAGCAAGTTATCTGCATGGACTGCGTGCAGGACTGAGTGGACTGCGTACAGGGGTTGGATCGTGCTGCTGGAGACTACTTTCCCATATCCCACGCATGTAAGGTCCTTCCTGTTATGTATTACACCCTCCCGCACGACCTCGAATCAACATTGCGGCACAAATTGCGAATTCTAGAATAACCCAAGTATTTACCACACCTTTAGTTTAATCATAAGTTGCTTACGTTTATATCTGTGAACCCAAAAGTATACTTCTGGGCCATAAGCCTGTAATCACCATAAGCTTGGCGTGTTAAAAGAAACAATACACTTAACCTCCAAGTGGACTTATATTTACCCACCATCCCTCTCCGCTGAGTTCCGGCATTCCATAATTTAGCTCCTAAGTAACAAAGTAAAGGCTAGTTCATGTTGGAACGAACATCGCATAAAAAGTGCGATTTAAAATGGCGTCGTGTTTATTGTAAAAAAGTTGAAAAAATTGAACTTTTTTGCGATTTCCGCAAACAACAATGAGGTTATATTGCTATATTTTATTTGACTCTTGCTTTTTAAGCCCATACATCGAAATTGAATCCGAAATGGACGAATGTGTAATGTGTTAGGTTGTTCAAATTATATTAACTTTACCGTATATATAAAGCTTCATTGAGAAAAACCCGTCGTTATGGCGTGAGAAATATTTTCAAAAACAGAAGAAAATATGGAGAATATCACAACCTTGTNAGTAGTATCACACTTTTTAGCAAGGTATTTAGCTTCCTTTTCAAATTGTAAAAACGATTCCGAATTTCGAATTGATTTTAAATTGTTTTTCGTAGAAGTAATTAAATTGGCAGCTGAAACTAAATTTATATTAACTTTTTGCAAATAATAATAATAATAATGAGTTTATTCACCATAATGATCACAACAAAAATATTATAAAATAGCAGGGTGAACGAACAAAGGCATCACAAAAGAAAATGTTTCTTGTGCGTGATATCGCCTAGTACAAAGTAATAACATGAATAAATATAGCAAATAAATATAGCAAATAGTTTGATAATACAAATATCTCAGTCTTAACATGTTTCCAGTAGCAAAGTAAGAATTTAAATTCAAATGTTTGCATGTAAGTGGCAATTCCTATGGCTTGAGCCATCTGATTACTTGTTATATTGCTTATACTACTGCCCTTTTGTGGCTTGCCAACGAGTATCAGATAACTTTTTCAAAGTGGATTTATTCTCTCCCGTTTCGTTTGCTACCTGGATTGTTTCAAATAATTTTAAGCGAGACAAACTTCCAAAAATAAACACGTAAATCTGCTCTAGTTATTCGAAAAATAATTTTACAACTGCACAAGAATTAACAGAGTCTACCAATACTAAATCTAAATTATGTGCGCAACAATGAACAAAAATAGCTTCTGGAATTTCTTATTTTATTCTTGTCTGTAGGCCTGTCAAATGACCGGCCATGGTGCTTGCTCCATCATAGGCTTGCCCTCGAAATAATGATATATGATTCTGCTGATCCACTAGACATGTCCACAAATTTAATAAATCGCTCCTCTGCAAACCCACTTTTTAAAAATGTTTCCTACTTATTCATCAAACTCAAACACCTGTTCATGCAGCTGCAGTTTCGTAAGAAGGTATCATCTTTCCCTCCAACCGATTTCCTGG